TCATCAATAACGTTTATACAGATGACACAACCTTGCTTGCTAAAAGTGATGAGGAGTTGAAATACTTGCTGCAGAAGGTTAAACATGCAGTTTTTAATATGAGTTGTGTCTCAACATCAAGAAAACAAAAATCCTTGCCACTAGACAATAGGCAACATCATGATGGATGGATAAAAAATTGAGTTTGTCAACAACTCCATCTTACTTGCATCTACCATCAGTATACTGGGTACTAGCAGTCAGGAGATCAAGAGACATATTGCACTGCGGAAGTCTGTAGTAAGGGATCACTCTAAATTATTGAGGAGAAATGATGTCAGTTTGAGAACTAAAGTGTATTTAGTCACTTCACTCACTTGCTATGCATCTGAGATCTGGACAATGAGTAAGGATGACAGAAAAAGAATTGATGTCTTTAATTAATGCCTCATTCTGGCCATGGTCATTCTAATCACTTGCTATGTATCTAAGAGCTGGACAATGGCTACGGATGACAAAGAACTGATGGCATTGAATTGTGGTATTGGAGAACACTACATATCCCATGGACTGGCAAAGAACAAACAGATATGTCTTGGAGAAAATGCAGAATGCTCCTTGGAAGCAAAGATGATGAATGAAGCTTCTGCTCACATATTTTAGGCATGTTGCTAGGGAGATTATTCCTGAAGATAGTCATCACGCTTGGAAGGGTGGAGAGATGGCAAAAAAGAGGAAGGCCCTCGAACAGATGGATTGACACAGTGACTGTAGCAATCAGCTTCATGACTGTGTCAGAATTGTGAGGATAGCACAGGATAGGACAAGTTCCAGATCTGTTGTTCATGGAATCACTATACGTAGTACTCAACTTGATGGCACCTAACAATAACAATAGGCCTATAGGAAACCTCATGATAGATGAAGAAAAAGTGGATGTTATCAATGATTTAATCTTCCTTAGATCCACAGTTAACACCCTTGGCACAAGTAGTCAAGAAAGCAAAAAAACATATTGCATTGAGTAAATCTGTCAAAGACTTCTCTGAGGTGTTAAGGATCAATCATGTCAGTTTAAAGACTAATATGCACCTGATTCAAGCCATAATCTTTTTAATTATTTATTATGCATCTGAAAGTTGGACTTGGACAATGACTAAGGATGACAGAAGACAAAGCAATGCCTTTGAGTTGTGGTTTTGGAGAAGAGTACTGAATATCACATGAATTGTCAAAAGATAAAACAAATATGTCTTGGAGAAAGTGCAATCAAGTGCTCCTTGAAGACAAAGATGGTAAAGTTTCATCTCATATATTTTGGGCATGTTGTTAAGAGAGTCCAGTCCTTGGAAAAAAGATTTTATCTTGGGAAAGGTGGAAAGTTAGAGAAAGAGAAGACCACGTCAAGGTAATGGATTCATGGAGGGAGTGTAACTGCTCAAATATATGAGAGAAGATGACTATGGGAGATTTCTCAGCAAGGTTCACGTCCTTTGTTCATAGAGTTGTTATGAATTGTAGTGGACTCCACCACAGCTAGCCACAACAGCTATATTAAACTGCCTTCATTAACATAACAAAGAATCCACTTTCTAAAGAAGATTACATTCACAGGTACATGGATCATACTTTCAAAACACTATTTAATAAATCATCTTTGGGTTAACAACACAACTTGCTATGGACTGCACCACTGGCAAATGCAAGGGAGAAAGGACAGTCTCCTTCCATGCCATTTATAGCCTTCAAAACTCTGCTTCAGAGGCAGCTCTGAGTTGGTTCCAACTCAAGTGCTGATCTTCAATCAGTAAGGAGTCTAGTGGTGTAGTGTGCAATATAACACATTGTTAACCAAAAGGTTATTATATCAACTCCACCAACGGCTCCCGGGGAGAAAGATGGGCACTCTCCTCACAGAGAGAGACACCATGAATCAGAGGTGACTGCATGCAATGAGTTTGGGGTTTGGGGTTTGTTTTTATTCCATTAATAGCTCTTTAAATTAAGAACAATCTGGTTCCATTTTGACTCAAAGACCTGACTTGATGAATTCAAGTCCTTCATCCTGTCCCTGCTTTCTTCCTGTCTTGGGAACTTCCTGTGTGCTCACCTGTCTTGGTCTCTGGGGCATTTTCTATTGTAGTCTTCCTATCTTGCCTTCCCTGATAATAAATTTGCTGTCTGTTCACTGCAGCCATCCCAGCATTGAGCCCCTCTCCCTCTGCTACCACTCTTCTGCCAGTCTCTCCTCGGCAATGGCTCTACCCTTTAAATCTAGTGAACTTGGGGTTTGTGGGGTGATTCCCATATAAAGTGATTGAAACATTTCAGTTAACACTGAACAGTTTAATCTCTCAAACTAGGTCTCCCAAATGTAATCTTGATACATTCTCTACAATTCCTTTGGGAACTTTGATATCAATTCCCAAGGGATCAGGTCTGAAGGTCCTGAAGGACACTGCCCATTCAAAGCTTGGGCAGCACCCCCCTTTGTTGCACCTTGAAATGAGCCATTAGGGAAAACCGTTGTTTCCGTTGCTGAATTTCAGTGTCCTTTCCTGTGATTTCTAGTGCAAATATAACCTTGTATATGTCAAGGTTCCTAAAGTGACATCAACATTATTCAGATGAATCAACTGAAATCTTCAAAGGAAGGCAACTTGTTACTTAGCCAAACTGGATGAAATCACATTTCAGCATGGAAAATAGCAAGGTCTGCCTTAAAATATCTTCCCTCTTGAGCTTGTGTCCCTCCCCCTCTGTAGATCAGCTCTGTAGATCAGACTTTGAATTTCCAACTGTTAGAAATATGCACAACTGGAAGTCCTTACCCTTTAGAATTTCACTTTTTAGAACTTTAGAACTCCACCTTAATACAAAGAGTCTAAAGAGGTCAAAGGAGCTTAAGTCCCTAGAACAACATCTTCCGCTTGGTCAGTGCTTGCACACATGCACGTGTGTACATGCATGTTCACACACACACACACTTTTCTTCTTTCCTCTTGGATAGTTGGAATAGAGGAGAAAAGAAGAAAAACATTGAAATGGAATTAGATAAAAGAGAAATACAAGAAAACTTGAAACCTTTCTTTCATTTTAAATTCAACTCACTGTTGCTGAGTCAGGACGACTCACAGCTGAACCCCCTTCCCTTGAGTTTTCAGAGGCAGTAAATAGCATGGGAAGAAATTACCTTCTTGTTCCCTCTGAGCAGCTGGTGGATTTGAACTACCCACCTTTGGGTCGGTAGTACAACTCTCATCCACTAAGACTCCTTCTTTAATGTCTTGTGATTACAATATGGCTTAAACTAAAATGGCTAGTGGCAAGGAATTATGCTGACAACACAATTATTCACAGCTCAAAGCTGCTAACTGCTCTCAAAGGGAAGAATGGTCAATCTTCTCCTGTGCAATTTACTGCCTCTAAAATATCCTTTGGAGTCCACAACAACAAAATGTAAAAAATCACATGGTATGAAATCTTCCTTCCCAAAGTTTTGAACTGAGAAGATAGCCTATGTTTCAACAAAAAGCTCTAATTGTTTTGTAACTCTTATAAAGATATTGAACTAAGCATGTTACTAAGCGACACATATGTAGTTTGAACATGCACCATAAATGTACATGCACTATTTTCTTATCAACATGGTTAGCTTCCAAAGACCAGAACATTGTGTAAAAATCAGTGTTGTGTAAAAATCAGTGTAATATGACTTTGGAAGATCAATACATCGGACCACAGATTAGAGCATGAATACACCCTTACATAACTCCTTACATAACTGCCAGACTACACTGTGAGGTAACTGCCAAACTACTGAGAATCATGGCCAGCCAAGTTGACACATAAGCTGAACTTCCATAGCCACTGTTACTCTTATCTCATGCCTTGCTCTTTGTTACTGCTAGGCCTACATTTTTAATATACAGAAGCATCAGATAGATTTTATCAGTGTCATAAATGCAAATCATAGAGATAGTCAAGGAGTGGAGTAGGTATATTGTTTTTACAGCTTTGTATTTATTATTCATTTTAATAAAAGTTTACAGAGACTTTGGATTTTCATTAATTCACTGTTGCACATTTTCCTCCCTGACCACCCCTCCTCCGCAGTTCTTTTCTCTTTAAAAAGTAAAAAAAATAAAAAATTTTTTAATTGTTGTACATTCGCCCCCACCTCCAAGTCCACTCCACTGTGCAGCTTTTGTTCTGGATTCTTGTCATGCCAATAATACCTAACCATAGATCCCTTTTAAATAGTTCTCTTCCTAATCTGTTTCACTGCAATATATCATATTTATCCCTTCTTTTCTTAGTTTTCCCCCAAGCCCGATGTCAGTCCCACTTTACAACAATGGCATTATGCAGTATTTGTCCTTTTATGACTGAGATATTTCACTCAGCATAACGTCCCCCATTTTGTATAATAATTCATGAGTTTCTTGTTTTTTAATGCAGCATAGCATTCCATTGTGTGAATATACCACAGTTTTTCAATCCATCCGTTGGTGGGCACTTGGGTTGTTTACAACTCTTTGCATCTTGGATGATCTGATCTGTTCTGCATACAGATTGAAAAGGTATGGAGACAGAGTACATCCCTGACAGACCCCCTTCTTGATTTTGAACCATGTAGTGTCTCCTTGCTCTGTTCTGATCACTGCCTCTTGTCCAAGTATAGGTTTCGAGTTAGCAGAATCAAATGTTCTGGGATTCCCATTCTTTTCAGAGTCAGCCACAGCTTGTTGTGATCCACAGTCAAAAGCCTTTGCATGGTCAATGAAGCACAGATAGAGAAAACCAAATAATCAGAGTTTGAGATTGGAGAGTGAGAACATAAAGAAGTGGAGGAAGATTTCCTTGCTTTCTGGTTTGGGGATCACAGTTTGGGGAGAACTGCGTTAATATAAAGAACACATGGAGACAAATGTTGGATCCAAACAGCTGCTTCCCTTAATCCTCAGCTGACGTGTTCTTTCTGAACTCTTTGTCTTTGTTTTTCCTTTCCAGGTACAGAAATGTCGTTTGTGTGTTTAGCAGACTTTCAGGCACATGCTCGGGAGCATCTGTCCAAGTCAACTTGGGATTTTATAGACGGGGGAGCTGATGACTGCTTCACTCGGGATGACAACATCGCAGCATTTAAAAGGTTTGGTCCTGGGTGTCCACTGTCTTGTTAAGCTAGATGCACTGGTAAAAAAACTCCTAGAAAGGTAGTAGATCCAGTTTCTTCCCTTAAAGGACACAGAGTACTCAAGATGGAATAATGGGGATTGCATTTGGGGGCTAGGAGTAGGAGAAGTAAGAGGAGAGGAGAGAAGCCCAAAGAAAATGTGCAACAATGCATGAATAGAAATCTAAGTATTCTGTAAACTTTCATTAAAATATCTATTAAAAAATAATACCAAAAAAAAGAAAAAAAAAAAAAAAGAACCCCAAAGGCAAAAAGGGGAAAAACAATTGGCTGCTAACTGAAAAAGTGAGTCGTTGGTTTGAACTCACCACCAGCACTCTGGGAAAAGGACTAGTGATTTGCTCCTGTAATGATTTCAGTAGGAATCTATATTGCTTTGGGGGTTTGCTGTGGGTTAGAATTAATCTGAGGCACACAACGAGGAGAAGGATGGAGCCATGGCTGAAGAGGGAATTTATATTAGTGCTTCTATTGAAGGAGCACAACTACCACAGCATCCCAGACACTTGGCAGTCTGACAGGCTAAGGCAAGAGTCCTGGAGATCAGTCCCATGGGCAGGGAAAAGAAGTCAGCCAGGCCTAGCTCTTCTGAGGTCCTAAGCTCCTGGCTTTGGAGGAAAAAATGAGCAGTGGGAGAGAGGAAGTGAGAAACAGAAAACAGAAATGGGAAACAAGGTAAACATTTTATTCTGTATTTTCAAACTTAATTGGAGCCAACTCTCAAACTTAACACTGTCATCAAGAGATTACAGAGTAGAAGGTTTGTGACCCTGTAAAGATTTATAGCGCAGACTATCTCCTCATTCTCCCGTGGAGCATCTGATGGGTCAGCAGCTGAGAATATTAACACCAGGACTCCATACAAAGAACTTTAAGTGCTTTATATCCTCTTATCTTTATAAAAACTATTGGGAAATTTGTGATATACTCCCATTTCACAGAGGAAGTAATTGAGGCTCCCTTACTAAGTTTGCACAGTTGCTATTCCCAGAGAATCTAGGTTTCAATGCAGAAATAATATTATGTGCAAAACAAAAAATGTTTGGGCTCAGAAGCTGAATCATTAGTCTTTAATGTATGTTTTATGTCCTGTACTTTCCATTTTTGTGCTCCCATCCCTTCTTTTAAGACAATTTTTAAAATAGACTTTTAAATTAATTAAAACCCCCCAAAACCAAAACAATCACAATCCATGACCATGGTGTGGAATTGTTTCTTGTTCAATAGCCTTACTCTCTTTGTGGAGGATTATTTCTATCCTGAAAGGGAAAGAACAAAGAGCTCTTTCAGGACTATTCTCTTCCTAGACCGCACTGTGTGGAATCAGTCAGTCCCTCCCAGTGGGTCTCTACTTCCATTCTGGAAAGTGAAGCCCACTAAGATCCTTTTTGCCTTCCATAGAATCCGCCTCCGTCCCCGGTTCCTGAGAGATGTGTCACAAGTGGACATCAAGACCACCATCCAAGGGGAGCAAATCAGTGCCCCCATTTGCATTGCACCCACAGGTTTCCACTCCCTCGCCTGGCCTGATGGAGAAATGAGCACAGCCAGAGGTATGGACCACGCCCATGCCAGGGCCCTCTTCCCTGAGACCTAGACTTCTTTCTGTGTGAGGAAGTGGCAACAGCAGGATTTCTCTACAGATGGGGCCTTGGGACAGCAATCTGGTTAAATTGGGGCAGCATAATCCATAGCTCTGGTAGTCTACTGAATCAAGGCTTGAACTGCCAACTCAGGCAATACTTATCTACCAACTGCTCCACAGGAGAAAGACAGAAAATCTCCTCTGGCTCAATTTACAACCCCTGAAAACTCACTCACTGGAGGGTCAGCTAATGAGTCACTTCCAGCTGGACAACAATAAAAAAGGGGGTTTATAAGAAGTTGTACTGTCAGCACAAAGGCAGGGGGTTTGAATCCACCAGCAGCTCTGCAGGAGAAAGATGGACAATCTCCTCTCATGTGATTATGGCTTCTGAAAACTTGCTGGAGAGTCAGCTATAAGTCAGTTCCAATTTGATACCAACAAGAGAGATGAGTTGGGGAAAGGAAGTGCTCAAAGCTATGTTTGCTTTCTCTGTTTCTTTTATAAAGTTTTCTCTGTTATTTTTTATGTTGTTAGGTGCAATAGAGTCAACTATGACTCAAAATGACACTATAAACAACAGATCTGCCCCACCCTATCCTGTGCCATCTTTATGATCTCTAACATACTTGAGCCCTTTGTTGTAGTCAGTGTGTCCATCTATCTCATTTAGGGTCTTCTCTTTCTCCAGCTCTCCACCTTTCCAAGCATGATGTCCCCCTCCAAGGAGTAATCTCTCCTAGCAACATGACCAAAGTTTGTTATGAAGCTTTATCGTCTTTGCCTCCAAGGAGCATTTTGGCTGTACCTTTTCCAAGACTTATCTATTCAATCTTTTGGATGTCCATGGGATGTGCAGTACTTTTCTCAACACCACAGCTCAAAGACACCAATTCTTCTTCTGCCATCCTTATTCATTGTCCAGCTTTCAGATGCCTAGCGAGTGATTGAAAATACCAGGACTGAATCAGGCACACCTTGATCCTCAAACTGACATCATTGCCCCTCGATAATTTGGAGAGACCAACCCCCATTTTCTGTAATAAATAGTGGTCAGAGTAAGTGGAAGAAACACCACTGATAAATAACACCAACATTAAACTTCCTGTCATTGAGTTAGCTTCAACTCATAGTGAGCCTATGGGACAGAGTAGAGCAATCTAATAGGGTTTCTGAGCTGTAAGTTTTTAGGGGAGCAGATGACTACACCTTTCCCCCATGGAACATGTGGTGAGCTTGGACTGCTGACTTTTTACTTAGCAGCTGAGCACTTAATCACGATATTATCAAGATCCCTTGCTAATCAATAGGAGGGACCTAAAATCCTACCTGCCCGTCCTACTGAAGAGGGGCACTGAGCCCTCTAGGTCTTGCCATCTTTGTGGCCACAAGGCAAAGGCTCTCTTTGATCCCTTATAGGCCCAGGCTTGGCCTAAAATGACAATTCTCTGAATTTAGGTGGAGGAAATTACCATTAGTTAGGTCCTGGCTTTAGGCCTTGGCAGCTACTTTCCCAAGATGTGCCACCTGATATCTTTTCTTCTTTTACAAAACTTTTCTTGTTGGGATATGTCTTTTCCCCCAGTAGTTTCCCATTTTGTTTGCTCCTGTTGTCATTAGATGCCATCGAGTTAGTTCTGACCATAGGGACCTTACAGCAGAATGAAACACTGCCTGAGCTGCTCCAAGCTCACTATTCTTGCTATGTTTCAGCCTATTGTCGTAACCATTGTGTCAAACTATCTTGTTGAAGTTCTTCCTCTTTTTTGCCCTGACCCCCTACTTTACTCTACCACTCATCTGTCAGTTTGCCAAACTGTGGTGACTGGAGAGTTACTGTGGTGCTGCAAGCTATCTCACTAGTTTCTCAAGCATCAGCAGGGTCACTCATAGTGAACAGGTTACAGCAGAACTTCCAGACTAAGACAGACTAAGAAGTAGGATTGGTGATCCACTTCTGAAATGGCAGACTTTCAAAAAACCTTATGGATAACAGAAGAACAATGTTCTTTACTAAGCTCGTTGTCTTTCTTTGGGAACTGGTCACTGCTGATAAAATGCCTAAAGCATGTCAGACCAAGTCTCAACATCTTGTCTTCCAAAGAGGATCCCGGTTGTATTGTTCCCAAAACAAGTGTCTTAGTTCTTCTGGCAATCTATGCTATAGAATATTCTTGGTCAACACCCTAACTTAAAGGCATCAATTCTTCTTTAGTCTTTTTTATTCATTTTCCTGCTTTCTCATGCATATAAGTTCATTTAAAATACTATTTGGTTGAGTCAAGTACTCCTTAGTCTTCAAAGTGACTTTTCAATGCTTGAAAGATCTTTTCTAACACATTTGCCCAATTCAGTCTACCACTATCACCACAGAAAGTAAATAAAAGAGGAGGAAAAGCTGAAAATATCCAGTAAATCCTTTATAATCCTCATTCTTACTCTTAATGAGATTCTCAGGATTCAGGAAAAATAAATTCAACATTTCTAGAGCTAAAAGTGAATGACGTTTTGATTGGCTTAGGAACAAACTGGCTAGTTTGAAATATGACTAGAATATGAAATCTCTATGGTTGAGAGTGTTATGTGAAGTTTTCTTGTGGGAGGAAGTGCTGTAAAGACAAGAACACAAAATAAGGGGGTTCAGCTTATTGACATTGTTGTTCATTGTAGTAGAGTCAAAACTGACTCATAGCCGACCCTCCTGCAGGCTTTCAGAGGCAGTAAGTTGCAGGGGAGGAAATGATCCATCCTCCTGTAGAGCAGCTGAGTTTGAACTGCATGCCTTTAGGTTCAATGCACCTCATCAGAAGGCCACCAGAGCTCCCTATTGACACTGGGAATTGAAAACATTGCATTTGGCCTAGGTTATATTCTCAATGCATGGGTTATAAAAATAGTGATAATGGTAACTCACTGAGAAAATCCACTGAAAACCAATGAGGCAGGAAATGAGAGATGCCCAACTCAGGAGCAACTACCTCAGCATTTTCATTACATTATCCTCATCAACCTCAGGACTTCTGACATTTGTACAGTACATCACTGTGAGTACTCCCATATCTATTCTCTTTAAACTCTCAATAGTGCTATAAATCAGTTTTTATTATTTCACCAACTTTGCAGATAAGGACCCAAGACTCAAGGCCACACAAGGAAGGCTAAACCTCAAGTTTATCTAATTTCAGATAATGTGTTTTTGCCACCACAAAGCTCAACCTTCTCCAATGGAATTGCATTTCCTCATCCTCCACCCTCTAATTGCCTTCTACTTAATTATGGAGACCACAAGAATCACACTTATTGTCGCAAGTTCCTAACAGGACCACAATTTCTGGGGATGAAAAGACCTCTGTGGCTGGGAATATTTGTTCCAGAGTATGGGTATCATAAGTCAGATTAGACAAAAGAGCTTAGACAGTTTTTACAGCTTCCAGTCTGACTAAGCTACATTTCCTCTCTAATCTACAAAACAACCCACAACCAACCCATGGCTGTTGAGCTGCCCTCCAGAGTTTCCAAGGCTGTAAATCTTTATGGAAGTAGACCGCTCCATCTTTCCTGTAGAACAGCTGGTGAGCTTGAACCACCAACTTTTCAGTTAACAGCTAAGGACATAACCCAAGTGCTGACAGCACTCTTCTTTATCACTCTACAACACAACAGCGAAACGGACTGAAAGCAAGCTTTGGTTCTACTCAGAGAGCAAGCTGACTAGAGGCATCCCAGGTTCACAGGGTTCCCACCTGAGTCCAAAGCACCCCTGACTGACCCTTCTAACCCTGTTGCGTTTTTTGTTTGGCAGCTGCCCAAGCAGCCGACATCTGCTACATCACTAGCACCTTTGCCTCCTGCACCTTTGAGGAAATTGTTACTGCTGCTCCCAGGGGCCTCCGATGGTTCCAAGTCTACCCATATCCAAACCGAGAGCTAAACAAACAGCTCATCCAGAGGGTAGAATCCCTGGGCTTCAAAGCTTTGGTGATGACTTTGGACGTGCCCACAAGTGGCAACAGGCGACAGGACACTAGAAACAAATTGGACTTAAAGACGATTTTGCTGCGGAAAGATCTACGATTCCCTGAAGAGGTAGGAAAGATAACAGATTCAAAGGGTAGGCTTGGCAGAAGCCAAATTTCCTTCCCTTTCCCTTCTTTCATCCCTTCATTCCTTCCATGGACATCTATTGACTGTTAGCTTTGTACTAAATGCTGGGGATGCAGTGCTTCCAAAACCACATGTGGCCTTGCTCCCCAGAGCTTCTAGACAAGGAACATATAAGATAAATATTTCACACCTCAAACTGTTCAACTTGCTGACAGAAACGTTCTGTTCAACACTGGATATGAAGAAATAGGAAATATAATTGCTTTCAATAAGTTGTGATAAATTGAAGTTATAAATGTGATAAAAGAACATTATTTTTAAAAAGCAATAACCATCATAGAAAGCATGGAGAAATGTCAAATATTAAACTATACAGTGCTTTTACTGGAGAGGGGGTGGAGTAGAGATGATATAGGAAATCTGTAAGAAGGACCTTTACACAGAATGCTAAAGTAAATTCAAATTCTCCCAATATTTCCTACCTCATGGTACGCTTAGAAAATGGTCATTTTGTGTGGTATTTAGACAAACTGACTATCTGGAGAGGATGCACATAGTGCAGTTTCCCCTTCCTCCACTCTCACTCCAGAACTGAGGAGTTAGTATCTTTGCAGATACCATATCACACCTTTCTGAGATCTCTGAACTAGATGCAAGCAAAGAGAATTCCCTCATTAAGTCCACAATGAACAGGACAGAGAATCCAAAGAGAAAGAAAGCTACAGTAATAGGGAATTCCACTGACTACAGTAGAAACAGTATCGCAATAGTTCCCAGCCAATGGGCAGCTGCCTTACTCAGTCAAGTGACCCAGCAGTGCTGTTCAAATGCCCAAATTGTCCTTGAGATTTCTGGAAACCTTTTCTCTGATTCTAGAGGCACATTAGGGTTTATGGATATTTTGTGCACTTTAAAAATCATGGGTAAATGTTGAGTAATAACTGATTTCAGATTATTGCAGTTTCTCTTAGCTCTTCATATACTGTGATTATTTGAATTATAGCATAAAAATATAAGTTCTCTTTCTTTGTTTTGCTTTTTTAACTGTAAATTGGGTGAAACTTTACACAGCAAATTAGATTTCCACAATTTATTAATATATTTACTTAGTCCTTTCACTAACTCTAAGATCTTTTAAAGTAAGGACTTTGTCTTACTCATCTTTGTGTCATTAGGACCTGCCAAAATTATTGAGTAGGAATATGTTGTTTTTGCTGCTGTTTCCTGTCAAATGGGAATTGACTCATAGCAGACCATCTAGCAGGTTTTCAGAGGTTATATATCATGTGGGAAGAGAATATCCATCTTACTCCCATGAAGCAGCTGGTGGATTTGAACTCATTGTGTCTGGATTGATACCACTCAGCCACTGGAAGAATCTAGCTAATAGTTTATGAACAAACAGTAAAGTAGAAATCATTTCATGTTAACTTTGGAAAATAAGTTCTTAGCATTGTTGCATTTTATTGTCTCTTCACTAAAATTTATAAATGATAGTGTTTCAAATATATGTCTCCTCCTTGAGCTGTTTTGAAGGAGTTCAAGACTAAGGTTCTCTTTCTCTTTTCCACAGAGACATATAGCATCTGACCTCCAGATGTCTCCCTTTGATGCCTCTTTCTGCTGGAAGGATCTGTCTTGGTTTCAGGGCATAACTCAGTTGCCCATCATCCTTAAAGGGATCTTAACAAAAGAGGATGCAGAGCTAGCCGTGAAGCACAATGTCCAAGGGATCATTGTTTCTAACCATGGCGGGAGACAGCTTGACGACGTTGCTGCATCGGTAAGTAAGCTGACTTCCAGGAGAGTGTGTGTGTGTGTGTGTGTGTGTGTGTGTGTGTGTGTCCACGAACAAGGTACTCCATGCAATTTGGTACAGACATGTTCCTCCCTTGCCATAGGTGTTGACGTGTGTGCATGTTAAGGACTTCTAAGTCACAAATAACAACCTAGTGTGGGTTGTTTTTGCAAACTTTATTTATGTTATTACTAGATCTCACAACAATTTTGCAAGAAGGGTGTTTTTATCTCCATTTTAAAGGGGAGGATGCTGGAGGATAGTAATATTAAATAGCATATCCGAGTTGATTTGATGAGTGAAACATTCAGGAGGGCAATACAGCATGACTAAAAACTCCTGGGAAGTGCAGAGGAGTGAAAACCAACCCAAGTATTATTATGTATACAACCGGCAATAGTAGTGATTATAAACATTTATAAGAAGAGGCATATGTAGACATGTACGCTGAACAGAATGTAAGGCAAGTGACAGTAATATACCCATGAGTTTGGCAGGTTTGACAGAGGATATTTCTACATATGTATTTGTTTGTGCTGTGAGTATATTCTGAAGGAGCCCTGGCAGCATAGTACATAATGGCTGCTGACCAAGGGGTTGATGGGCTGATTATTTTTTTTTCTTTTCATTACTTTATTTACAAAATTCTAATACAAATTAGAACAAATTATTTCCATTTCCCTCACCCCCCCCATCCATCAAATTGTAAAACCCATTGATTCATTCTCTCTTCCCCCTGCCCATCCACATCCCTCTGCTTCCAGCCTCTCCTTCCCCTCCTGGACCCTTATACTCATTCTACAATAACAGTCTTATATAATATTTATCCTTGTGGGACTGAGTTAGTTCACTTGACATAATACTCTCCATTCCCTCCCAAGTTAGATAATAATTTACAAAGTTATTGCTCCTGCATGCTGCATAGTATTCCATTGTGTGAATGTACCATAATTTCTCAATCCATTTGTTTGTGGTTGGACATTTGGGATGTTTCCATGCTATGAACATTGGTGTACAAATCTCAGGTTGTGCCTCAGTTCTCATATTCTCAGAGTATAAGTAGTGGAATAGCTGGTTCATATGGAATTTCTATGTTCAGCTTTTTGAGGAAGTGCCAAACTGCTTTCCAGAATGGTTGCACCATTTTACAATTGGGTTGATTCTAAGTGTTCCTCAGGAAAAATGACAGGCAGTCTTCTTTCATAAATATTTGTAACGTTGGAAACTTGATAGAAGTTGAAGTTGACTCAAGAACAGAGCGTGGCATTTTCTTGGGTTTTGTTTACTTTCTTGAGTGGTTTTAATGTATCCCCACCACTGGATCAATAGGCAATGTCATGACAGATGGAGGAAAGATTGAAACTGTCAACAACTTCATCTTATTGGATCCACAATCAATACACTTGGTCCCAACAGTCAGGAGATCAAGAGACATATTGCATTGGGAAAGACTATAATCAGGGACCTCTCTAAATTATTAAGGAGTCATGGTAAGTTTGAGAATTAAGGTGCACCTGGTTCAGGCCATGGTATTTTCAGTCACATGCTATGCATCTGAAAGCTGGACAATGAATAAAGATGACAGAAGAATTGATGTTTTTGAACTGGATGGTGCTGGAGAAGAGTACTGAATATCCCATTGACTACCAAAAGAACAAACAAATACATCTTGGAGCAGGTGCAGCCAGAGTTCTGCTTGAAGGCAAAGATGATAAAACTTCATTTCATATTTTGGGCAAGTTGCTAGGAAAGGATATTCCTTGGAGAAGGACATCATGCACAAAAAGGCAAAGGGACAGAGAAAGAGAAGAAGGCTCTAACCCAAGTGAATTGCCATCATGACTGTAATGGGCTGCAGTGTGTCAGAGATTGTGACGATGGCACGGGTTAGGACAGGGATCAAATCTGTTGTTTATAGGTTCACTATGAGTCATACTCAACGCTATCTAACAACAAGGATATTGTATATTAAAAACATAATTCTGAAAACTTATTAGCCATAACTAAGAATTTAGGATCACAATCTCAGAGGTACACTAGGTCAAATCGCATAATATAATTCACAGAGACAGTGTTCTGTGTCTTATTTTGGAGAACTAGATATTGCCTGACTACCACTACCAACTGCTCTGATGAGGATCATCATAGAAAGTCTTGCACAGAGGGAAAGGAAAATTTGTGAACTAAAATTCAAAAAAATAAGAACAGACTTACTTGCCCAAGACTAGTGGAACCCCTAAGACTATCACTACACCCACTATCTTTGTCAATTCTGACTCATATAACTGCTTCCTTGGGTTTTCAAGGCTGTAAATATTAATGATATTAAATTGCTGATGAGCCACTAGTGAATTAGAACTGCCAGAAATGTGTAGCCTTTCAGTGAACAGCACAACATACTATGAACTACACCACCAAAGCCAAGGAGCCGAACAATAGACAGGCCTGTAAAGTGAAAACCGTCTCCAGGCAGGAATGTAATCCTCAGCACTATCAACCATAAGAGACCAAAAGGACAGCCTTTGCCCAAAAGCAAAGCTCAGAGGGTAAGAAGGGAAAGATGAGCAAATGGACGTGGGAAACCCAGGAAAGAAGAGCGCAGCTGCTTTGATAGGACAGGAGCCAGTGTCATGAAACAAGATTTGTATGGATCGTTGCATGGAAAACTAATTTGCCGTGTTAATTTTTACCCAAACCACCTTAGGGGTGTGGAGGTAAAGACAGAAGGAAATGTTCAAAACACTGAGTTGTCCTGCCTTCTGGGAAAATCGCTCAGCTTGAAACTTCCTTGTGTGGATTAATTGAACCTTCATACTTCATACTTTCTTTCAAGACACATTTCAGTAAAGGGAAATGCTTCTCTTAAGCTAGCAAACAAGACTAAAACATGCCCTAATGAGCCCACTAATATATATATAGCAGCCTACAGATTTATGGTCATAAAACATGGAGTTTGGGAGTAGAAAATGAGAAGAGAGGAGAGGGAAGGAGAGGGAATCAGAGAAGATGGGAGTGGAGAAGATAAAATATTTAAATGGGAATTAGTTATTGATTTATTTTCTTGGTGATAAATCAGGTTTTTCAAGAGATTCTTCAGTCACTGCTTGGCTCATATTAAAAAAAATTGGAGCTTTGCACCTTAATTTATTCTGACTTTTTATATATAAATAAAATGTGGTCACAAGATAAATTTTTTTACAAGATAAATTTTAAAATACACATAAAAAACCTAAAATTCAACCTTAATTTAATCTCTGTTGTCTATTTTAATATTTTTGTAATGGTTTTTATTTTTTATAATAAGTAGGCCATTTATGCGTCAAACTATACATAGTGCTTTGTATTTTTTTAATTTAATATATTAGGAATATCTTTTCCTTTTAATCAATATGTTTCTGCTATTTCTCGTGGTTGCAGAGTATGAATGGTCAATTTACTTAACCTATCTTCTCTGTTAAATACCTGTATCAAGTCCAATCTTCTATTTTAGGTAAATAGAAAACTTCAAAAAGCTCCTTAAAAAAATTAAAGAAGAAGGATACCAGTTTAAGGATTAAGGTGCACCTGATCCGTGCCATGGTATATTCAATTCTTTAATATGCATGTAGTAGTTGGACAATTAAATAAGGAAACATGTAAAACATTATGTCCTTGGATTTTGGGGTTAGCAAAGAGCACTGAATATCCTGTGGACTACTAAAACATCAGACAAGTCTGTCTTGGAGAAAGTACAGTCAGCATGCTCCTTCAAGGCAAAATGGTTAATCCCCCTCCTCCCCCTGCACATACTCATTCCTCTGCTTCCACCTTCCTCCTTGGATCCTCAAACTCATTCTACAATAATGATTTTATACACTATTTGTCCTTTTGGGACTGAGTTAGTTCACTCAGCATAATGCTTCCCAGTCCCTCCCAAGTTAGGTAATACTTTACAAAATCATTGTTTCTGTGTGCTGCATAGTATTCCATCATGTGAATGTACCCTAATTTCTCAATCCATTTGATTGTGGTTGGACATCTGGGCTTTTCCATGTTCTTGCAACGGTAAATAACTCTGCTATAGACATTGGTGTACAAGTCTCCATTTATGCCTCAGTTCTCATTTTCTCAGGGTATTTTCCAAACAATGGAATAGCTGTGTGATATGGAGTTTCTATGTTCAGCTTTTTGAGGAAGTGCCAAACTGCCTTCCAAAATGGTGGTACCATTTTACAATCCCACCAACAATGCATTAGAGTTCTTATCTCACCACATCCTTTCCAACAGAGGGGATTAATCATGGGGTTGTACAATTTGATAGGTGAAAGAATGAGGGGAAATTGGAAGAATCTGGTCTGGAAAAAAAAATGTATTGTAATTTTGTAAATAAATTAGTATAGTAAAAAAGAAGATGAAACTTCTACTCATACTTTAGGCATGCTGGCAAGAGGGACCATTTCTTGTGAACATCATGCTGGGAAAGGCAGAGGGTCAGTGAAACAGAGGAAAACCTTCAGCAAGATCAATTGGCACAGTGATTGCAATGACCAGCTTGAGCATGGCAGAGATTATGAGGATGGCACAAGATGGGGCAATGTTTTCATCTATTGTTCATAGTATCATCATGAATCTTTGTCAATTGGATGGCACTTAACAACAACATTTGGTATAAGCAGTCAGGAAATAAGGAGAGGCATTGCAATGGGAAAATCTGCAGTTAGGTGTCTTTCCAAATTATTGAGGAGTTAGTGATGTTTGTTTGAGGACTAAGGTGTATCTGATTCAGGCCACAGTCTTTCTGATTATTAACTATGAATCCAAAACCTGAACAATGAATAAGGATGACAGAAAAAGAATTGATGCCTTTGAGCTGTGGTCTTAGAGAAGAGCACTGAACATCCCATGGACAGACAGCCAAGAAAACAAATAGATATGTCTTGGAAAGGGTGCAGCCAGAGTGCTCTTTAGAGGCAAGAATGATGAGGATTCGCCTCACATACTTTGGACATACTGCTAGGAGGTGCTGTTCCTTGTAGAGGGACATGAGGCTGGGAAGGGTGGATGGTTGGTGAAGGAGAGGAAGACCCTCAACCAGGTGGATTGACCAGGTGACTGCTGCAATGGGCTCTTGTGTATCAGGAAATGTGAGGATGGCAGAGGTCAGGAGTAGGTCCAGATCTTTTGTTCATAGGGTCACTTTGAGTCTTACTCAACTCAATGACACCTAACAACAACAACAGCAACATTTAAATAGTGAATCAGTGACTATTCTTAAGCTAAATCTTTTGCCTATTCTCAATTACTCTGTTCCCAAAAATTCCAGAAAGTATAAATGTTATGTAAGTACTTTATACACTCCAAGACTTGTGATGCTTGGAGGTTTAAGGGTGCAATCCCTCAGCTCCTCTTAAGAAACCTTTTTTTTTCCCCAGAGCAAGTAGTGGTCCTTGTTCTTACTAGGCTGTAATGAGTAATTTCACATTTTTCCACACTAAAAATTATTCTTCTGGGCGTACGTGGCATCTATCTTTCTCAATATTGAAGTACCTTCCTATAGAAAGAAAACTTCTTTTAAATTTTGTGATTTGTGACAGAGATTGAGTACCCAGTAAGCAAGACAACCACATGTGCTTACTTGCTAACCTATAGTGAACAATTTCATATGGGTTTGAACACATCTTCGTCATAAGCTCACCTTGTTTACTGGGTAAATACCCTGATCCTCTTCACCAGGCCATCGGGCTGAAAGGGACAGTCACAGGAATTGCAAGGCCATCCAGGGAGCAAAGGCATGCCTTCTGTGGTTTTCTGATAAAGGCTGGATTGGAAGGCAGGATTGTCCACTTCCACTCGCAATTTTCCATCCCCACTCTTGACCTTATGATCTTACAAAACATGCAGTGACACGCATGTACATGCCTCTCACACAGTCAGAAACTAGCAGATCAGAACACAGAAGAGTATGGTAAACCCTGGACTTCCTAGATGGGAGCAGAAAGTAAAGATGAGCCCACCCACATACACTGCCAATGGTGCACACTATGGCTTTTTGAAATAAATGATAGCATTGTGTAGTGTCACGCTCTCATTAATCAAGTCAGGCAGTCTTACTCTCTTGGAGAGGAGGGAGTAATGAATGAGAAAGAGGGAGATAATTCCCTTTGTCATTTCCCCAACAGAGAATTAATGTTGTCAGAGTTGCTCTTTTATACAAGTGAAGGAAGGGGGAATTTCTCTTGCTCCAATATAGCAAATCACCATACTGCTCTCTCAAGCCATTTGTCTTAATAGACAAAAAAAACTAAGATCATATAAAGATAGGGACAGGACTAGTGTGAGGCCACTTTGCCTCAGAATTGAACTTTAAAGGGATACCAAAAGCTCAGAACTTAAATTGTTTTAATGTGTATTTTTTAAAACCTAAGCAAAGGGGGTGGGGGGATGTATGATCCATGTTGAACAAAATATTAACATTTGAAATAAAGACAAAGTCCAATCCTATACTTACATAATCCTACCTCACCCACCTCACCTCAGTTTCCAGTAAAGGTTGTTGCTGTTAAGTGCCATAGAGTCATAGATGACCCATAACAACCCTTTGAATGAAAGACTTGAACACGAAATTTTTATCTTTTCTCCAAGTTCATAGAGTTTCAGAGGCAAGCCTTTTTGGAAGTGGATGTCACTCCTGCTTCCAAGTCTGTTGTATTGGAAAGATCCACAAAAACCAGGCCTGAGGGCCCTAAAGCCTTTTAAAAGGTGAAGCCAAATCCTATCAGCTCATACCCTATTGCAGGCAAAAGCCACACCCTTGTCTCAACCCCAAAACAGAAAACACACATTTGCAGAATCTGGCCATTCCGCTCATCTTCCCAGCCTGGAAAAGGTATTATTTATAAAAAGCAGGTCATAGCTCAGAGGCCAAATTTTCCCAACTTGATTTTTTAAATATTGCATTAAAATATAATATTATTTCTCTGAATCATTGAGATTTTTTTAGCACACCCATACATTCTGTGTCCACTGACTAAGGAACATTTCAGTTCTATGAAGAAATGGCTTTATGAGTGCAGTTCTCAGCTCTGTGTCTCTGTATCTAACACTGACTTTGTGTTTCTTCTAGAATCAGAGGGCAGAGAAGTCAGCTACTGCTCCTAGAGGCAATAATGAATGCTTTCTGACCTATCACAAATTAACTTTCTAGTCATGTTATGCTATAGGCTGAAAATTCACTCGTCCCTTTCCGTCTCTCAGCCCAAGTCATTGTCAGCTTTAAAGAGCCCTGTTGCCACTTGTCCATCTGTCAGTTTATTATTTTGTGGTGACTTGAGTGTTGCTGTGATCCTGGAAGCTATGCTATGGATATTTTGGACACCTGGAAGGTCTCTCATGATGGACAGGTTTCATCAGAACTTCCAGACCAAGAGACTAGGAGGTATTTTATATTTCCAGCATGATATTATTTAAATTATTTCTATGATGTTGGAAAAAGGAAATAAACGTGTTTGTAAAAACTTTTCTGGTGAGTTGATTCTGACTCATAGTGGCCTTATAGGACAGAACAGAATGTCCTTGTGGAGTCCCACAGGTTCACCAACTTTGAGGGTAGCAGGCAAGTGGTTTTCTGTTTGCTTTTTTTTTTAATTGTCAGTACTTTCCCTTTTTTAATAGTATTTTTTAATATAAACTTTTTATATTATACTGGTTGACTTACAAAATTCGTATACACTGTTTTCCACACTGGATCTTTCCCATTTCCTTAACTCACCCCTCCCTCCACCTGTCAAATTGTGCAACCCCATGTCTATGCTTCCCCCTCAACCTCATACTTAGACATGAATTCCTCCCAGCTATTGTTTGTAAGTCATTCCATTCTTCTAGCACTTGTAATTTAAAGAAAAAAATTCATTTCTCCCTAATTCCTCATTCTGCTCTACCTCAGTGAAAAGATATCATTTGGTTAGAACTTAGTTTCCTTCAGCAGCAGGAATAGCCTTAGTAGCAGTGATTAAGTGTTCATCTCCCAATCAAAAGGTTGGAGGCAATCTGCTACCCTAAACATTACTGCCTGGCAAATCTCCTGGAGCAATTCTACTCTGCCCTGTAGGGTTGTTATGGGTCAAAATCCACCACCTTGTGATGGCAGGATCATAGCAGCAGAAGTCTCTTGAGGGTCTGGGTTCCCTAGAGCTCAGGACAGGAACTCTGAGGTAGTTCCCGACCTCCATCCTCAAGGGTCCTCTTCTCAGACCCTGGAAAGCCTGCTATCATCTCTCCTTAGACTTGGAAGTGCCTTGAACCATGGCCTGCAGTGGGACTAGGTGCTCATATACCTGGACTGAGTTATAATCCTCAGGATAGGCAAAGACTGTTGGCTGTCCATAAACTCTCATCACCATCAAGTTGGAACCAAGTCATGCATGCCCCTCCAGTGGTTTTATGAGGTCTAGAATAAATAGGTCTAGAAGAGGGTGTCCATTTTTCTCCTTCTAGCTACTGCCGGATTCAAACTACCAGCAGGCAAAGACTTTTTATTAGCAGCACACCTGCCCGTGGACTGCACTCTAGGGCTCCCTCTGCAAGCTGCACTGTCTAGAATTGAAGGGGCCAAATAAGAGACAAGCTCTAATGGAGACACCAGACCAAAAGGGAAATCATTCTCAGTTGCGTCTTTCAAAAGCGGAAACTTTTATTTTGAAATGTTGTTGTTGTTGAATCCCTATCCCGCTTCTCAGATAAGCCTTGGAGGAGTCAGGGACAAGTTGGCAACAGAATTTCTAGGAAATAATACACAAATCAGTTACACAAGTCAAAACCAACAGGCTGCAGAGTGTGTGACATTCATTTTGCTAGAAGACTTGGCCCTTTAGCAATAGAGACCACATATAGCAATGTCTACCCTACAAACAGAGAAAAGTAAAAGAAAAAAGACAAAATTATCTGTAAAAAGGAGAAAGTTAAATTGAACTTTATAAATGGAAAATATGCCCTTGGCATATTATAGGCCAGTGGTAGAGTGTTATGCTGCCAACTCAAAGGCTTAGGGTTCAAATCTGTCAGCTGTGCCACAGGAAATAGATGGGCAATCTTCTCCCTTGCAATTCACAGCCTCTGAAAACCTCCTAAAGGCAGCTTCGACTCAACAGTAATGTTTTTTGAGTCAGGATCGGATCACTTAGTGGTAACAAGTTGCACTACCAAAGACACACAGTTTAAATCCATCAGCTGCTCCATGGGGTAGGGGTGGGGGGGATAGGAAATCTCCTCCTATGGTTTACTAGGGAGCTCTGGTGGCCTAGTGGCAAGAAGCTGCGCTGCATTCCTGAAGGCACATGGTTCGAGGCCACCAGCTGCTCCACAGGAGGATGGGCAATCTCCTCCCTTGCATTTAACTGCTTCTGAAAACCTGCCGGAGGGTCAGCTATGAGTCGGTTCCAACTCTATGGCAGACAATACAATAATGCCTCTGAAAACCCACCAGAGAGTCAACTTTGACTGACTCAAAAACACATAACATAACAACAGATGGAGGATCAAGCCATTCTCCCAACCTGCAGACAAACAGCTAAGTCAAAAAGATGCAAAAATAGCAGATGGGCCCAGAGAAAGTCCTGGGCCTTGGGAGAGTAGCTGCAGCTGCTTTTTATAGATGTTAACACCAGAGCAAGAAGGAAGAACTAGTGAAGGACTTTGCCCCAGCATGGACTTCTTGGTGTTGACCCATGTGGTAAGCACTCCTCTGCTGTGCCATGAACCTCTCAGAATCACCCAGAAATTCTGGGACACATACTCATTTCTTTTTCAGATTGACGCCTTGACAGAGGTTGTGACTGCCGTGCAAGGGAAGATGGAGGTATACCTGGATGGTGGCATCCGTTCGGGTAATGATGTGTTAAAGGCCCTAGCACTAGGAGCAAAGTGTGTTTTTCTTGGCAGGCCCATCCTGTGGGGTCTTGCCTGCAAGGTAAGAATGGCAAAGCAGAAGTCAACTGCAGAAAACAGAACTGCTCATTCATTCCCATGCATTTCTGTGGGTGCATCTGCAAATTTAGCAGTCCGTCCAGGTGCTCCAACCTCACCCTCACATCCCATGGTTCCTGAGGCCCATTGCCTCTTCTGCAACTTCCCTTGGCAGCTTCATACTTTCCATAGGCACTCTGCTACATCATTCTCTCCTTACTGCCCTTTATCCCCAGCATTGTCCTAATTGCACTGTTTCCCACCAAAGCTTGGGCTGCCTCCAGAGATAAAATTCAGCAGAAGGTCAGACTGTTCTTTCATGGCTTTTTATCTTTCTCTCTATCTTGAAAACAGGGTGAACAAGGTGTTCAGGAAGTTTTGAATATCTTAAAAAAGGAGTTGCACACATCCCTGACCCTTGCAGGTAAGTTTTGTATCCCTCCTGATTTGGAACTTACAACAGGACAGCTAACAAGCGGAAATGGATTTTCCTTCCTCTAGTTAACTTTTACTCAGCCTAGTAGTATCCGGGAGGCTGGGCTCTATGAGGAGAAATGTGGGGTCAAGATTGGTGGACGATTTATCAACAATCTGCGTTATGCGGATGACACAACCCTGCTTGCTGAAACTGAGGAGGACCTGAAGCGCCTGCTGCAGAGTGTCGAGGACTGCAGCCTACAATATGGATTGAGGCTCAATGTCAAGAAGACAAAGATTCTCACCACTGGACCAATTGGCAGCATCAGGATGGATGGTGAAGAGATTGAGATTGTACACAGCTTTAGTTTGCTTGGCTCCATAGTCAACAGTCTTGGCACCAGCAGCCAGGAAATTAAAAGGCGCATTGCCATGGGAAAGTCTGCTGTTAGGGACCTCTCCAAAGTGCAGAAGAGCAATGGTATCTCTTTGGAGACTAAGGTGCATCTGATACAGGCCATGGTCTTCGCAATCACCTGTTATGCATCAGAGAGTTGGACAATGACCAAGGAGGATAGAAGAAGAATTGATGCCTTTGAGCTGTGCTGCTGGAGAAGAGTACTGAGAATACCATGGACTGCTAGGAAAACAAACTGATTTGTCCTGGAAAGGGTTAAACCGGGTGGCTCCTTGGAGGCAAGGATTCTGAGGCTCCATCTAACATACTTTGGACATGTTGTGAGGAGAGACCAGTCCTTAGAGAGGGACATCATGCTTGGGAGGGTGGAGGGACAGCACAGGAGAGGAAGGCCCTCTATGAGGTGGATTGATTCAGTGACTGGGATAATTGGGATGGGAGTGTCAGAGACAGTGCAATTGGCACAGGACAGAGCGGAGTTTAGGGCTGTTGTACATAGGGTCGCTATGAGTCGCAGGCGACTTGACGGCACATAACAACAACAACAATAGTTTAAAAAGTGAGTAAAGTGTCAAATGTGCTGTTGTCAAGTTGATTCTGACTCATGGCAACAGCATGTGTTAAAGAGTAGAACTGAGTTCCAGAGGGTTTGCTTGCTTGTAACCTTTTTTATGGAAGCATGTTTCCAGGTCTCTGGTGGCACAGTCCAGAGGGAGTTGTGCTGTTAACACAAAGGTGGTGCCCCTTTTTAATGAACTGACTCCACCATGTGGTCATTCTCCTCTCCTGTGATTCATAGCCTCGGAAACCTACTAGAGGGTCAGCCATGATTCAGTTCTGACTCAAAGGCAGTGAGATTGAGGGATTTTGCTTTCTTCTGTTTTCTTCCAAAAATTCAAAAGGTTGATGGATTCGACATGCCAATCTTTTGGTTAAGCAGCCTAGTGCAGATTGAGAGAAGAGAGAATGAATAAGCATCCCAGACAAGAGTTAAATATACACTTAAAATGTAATGCATCTGTTATGAAAGTAACTGCGAGTTTAGATAACAGGGGCGAGGAAATACCATTTTCCTCTGCACCACTTAGGCATGTTGACTAGGTTCTGTGTGTCCTGTTTAAAGTAATATTCATGTACTTGTAAAAAGAGCCAAAACTTGTGTAAAACAGGAAAGGAAAAGAAGTGAGGAGATACAAACAGAAGAAATTAAGGTTGGTGGAGAATTACGGTCTTGTGTAACCACAGACAGCAGAAAAAACATCAATGACTCATATGTTACAAGTAGGTTGAATCCAGCCCCAAACTGAAATTAAGTGTAATTATTGTTTTAGTCTTTGTTAAGTGCTGTCGAGTTCTCATAGTAACCTTCATACAATTAACTCATAGTGACCCTAGCCTCCAAGGAATTTGGTTTCACCCTCTCTAAGATGGACTTTATTGTTTTCTTCACAGTCCATGGTATATGTTCATTACTCTTCTCCACCACCACAATTTGAAGGCATCCGTTCTCCTTAAATCACCCTTAGCTGTTGGCCAGCTCTCTGAAGCATAGCAAGTAATTGCAAAGATCATGGACTGGATCAGACACACTTCAGTCTCTAGACTGACATCTTTGCTTCTTAGTACTCTGGAGAGGTCCCTGACAGCAGATTTTTTCCAGTGCACTTTGTCTTTTGATTTCTTGACGGCTGATTGCGATGATTGTGGAGCACAGCAAGCTGTAATTGTTAAAAATCTCCTGCCAACTGGACCAGTAGTGAGTATCTTTCATGATGTTGAACTTCAGTTCATATCGAAGAAAACCAAATTTCTCCTCAGAGGCTAGACTTTTGAAGCTCCGTCTTACATTTGGGCACATGACCAGAAGAGAGACTGGTCCTTGGAGAAGAACATCATTCTTGTAAAGGTGAAGGGACAGCACAGGAGAGAAAGACCCCAGATGAGATGTATTGATATAGTAACTGGGGCAATAGGGGGTAAGTGTGTTAAAGTCAGTGAGTCTGGCTCAGGATAGGACAGGCTTCAGAGGTATTGTATATAAAGTCGCTATGAGTCACATGTGACTTGACAGCACATAACAACAATAGCAACATAGTGATCCTATAAACAACAAATTTGAACCCTGTCCTATCCTGTGCCATCCTTATAATCCCAAATACACTTGAGCCTATTGCTGTAGTCTCTGTGTCAACTTATCTCATTGAAGGTCTTTTTCTAAGTATGAAGTCCCTATCCAAGGAAAAGCTTCACCTAGCCACATGCTCAAAGTATGTGGACAAAGCTTCATCATCTTTCACTCCAAGGAGCACTATGGCTGCATTTTTTTACAAGACATGTCTGTTTGTTCTTTTGACTGTCCATTATTCAGCACTCTTCTCCAACACTACAACTTCAGTCCAGCTCTTATGTGTGTAGCAGAAAGACTTGTTTGGATCAGGCATACCTTAGTGCATGCCAAAGTGTCAATTGTAAAGTTGTGTTGATTGAGTCTGTTGAGTCAAGTATGACTTATAGTAGCCCTATGAACAACAGATCTGAACCCTGCCCTATCCTGTGCCAAACTCATCATCTCTAAATGATTTGCATGTTGTTAATTACTTTATATCTTAGGTGTATATATGCTTGCTTCATTGTAGTTTGCTTTTATTATTATAGCTCTTGTCTGTCAGTGTTCTGTACTGGTGTAATTTTTGGGTTGTAATGCTAGAGGCTGTGCCACCAGTGTTAAGACAGACTAGGAGGCAGGATTGACCATCCACTTTCAAAATAACAGGCCTTTGAAAACACTGTGAAATTACGAAATTGTACTCACAAAATCTTGTGTTTAGCAAACCCTAGGATCCCTGTGACCCTAGGATAAACTAGTGAGCCTTGACCAATGCTGGCACATACCTTCTACTCCAAGGGCATTTGTGTTTTGGTTAACTGTTTTAATGGTCACCATAGCTGTGGAACAGGTATTACCTGTATTTAGTGCTTGTTGTTGTTGATGGCCATCGAGTTGAGTACGACTCATAGCGACCCTGTGAACAAAAGGCCTGAAGCCTTTCTATAACTATCAACATTTATCAGAGTCCATAGAGTTTCCAGAGGCATGTAGTTTAGGAAGTGGGTGCCACTCCTGCTTCCAAGTATTTAGTGCCTAATGGCCAAGAAAGGCTACATGTTCTAAAATGTGCAAGGAAATAAAACACTGCTTTCATATGGACCGATCTCATGCCAAGGGTATTATGCTCAGAACAGTAGATTTTGTTAGGTTTTGTAGGGTCAATTATAATACATAGTGACCCTGTGAGCAATAGAACCACACCTTACCCTAGAAAAGCACAGGATCCACACACAAAAAAAGACTTTCAAAAAGATGGATGGACATAGTGCTGCAAGAAAGGGCTTCCCCACAGCTTGGAATTGTGAGGAAGACACAGGAGAGAGCTAGGTTTTGTTCTGTTGTACACAGGGTCACACTAAGTTGGAACCAACTCAATGTACTTAACAGCAACAAATGCCAATAGCCAATAACCCTGTATTTCTCTGCTGGTCATTGCAATGGTAATTCATTGCCATGTGAAAGGACAGAGAAGATGTACCCCAAAAGGACTTCCATTCACTCCTTAACTCACCAAGACCACTTCTATTCTATTAATTTATTTTTTACAAATGTTACCGAACACCTGCCTTTTTAATTTTTTTCAAGATGGTTTTGATCTGGCAAGCTCTGGTGGCCTAGTGGCAAGACGCTGCACTGCAGCCCCATAGGTGCACGGTTCGAATCCACCAGATGCTCTGCTGAAGGAGGGACAATCTCCTCCTGTACCAGTCAGATCTGGTACACACATAAAAAAAAAAAAGATGGTTTTGATCTGATATTGAGAAAAGCATCTCATATTCAAGGCCAGAGCACCAGATTCACATCCACCAAGCAGATTACCAGAGGCAATGGGAATGGATCAAGGCCTCCAGGTTCAGAAGTATCCATTTCAAATAAACCCTACGCTGTTGTTGCATGTGATCAAGTCAAGTAGACCTCACAGTGACCCCATGTGACAGAGTAGAAGTGCCCTTCATTGTTTCCTTGGCTGTAGTCTTTATGGGGACAATTGTCAGGTCTTTCTCCCAGGGGGGCTGCTGGGTGGATTCAAACCACTAACCTTTGGTTAGCTGCTGAGTGCTTAGCTATTATATCAACTGGGCTCCTTACCAATCAAAATCTATGAAGATTAAACAATAAATGACTGTGATCCCCCAAATATTTTCTCCTCTGTCAAAATGATGTATTATCTTCTTCTAATAGAAGCTTGTGGTGGTGAGGGAGGTTTACAAAAACAAAGCTTTATATTCCATCAACAGTTTACAGTTGACAATTACTAAAGTACAAATGACAAATGACAGGTCTTATTTTTTTTTTCAGATGAAAGCACTTATTTCTAAAGGGAAAGGCGGAAAGACAGAAATGGATAGTTTCAATCCCTAACTGATTAAAACTTAGTTTCAATCTTAAAAAAAACCAAATAAAACACCAGTGGTCTTAATGTTTAGGGTAGCTTTAGGTTTACAAGAAAAGTATTCAGCAAGTCTGAGTCCCCATACTCCTATTCCCTGCACAGTATGTTGTTGTTGTTATGTGCCGTCAAATCACCTGTAACTCATAGTGACCCTATATACAAGAGCCCTAAACCCTGCTCTATCCTGTGCCAACCTCATTGTCTCTGACACACCTACTCCCACCACCCCCAATTACTGAATCGATCCATCTCATCGAGGGTCTTCCTCTGCTGTGCTGTCCCTCCACTCTCCCAAACATGATGTCCCTTTCCAAGGACTGGTCCCTTCCTTGCAACATGTCCAAAATATGTCAAAGCTTCAAAATACTTGACACCAAAGAGCAGCCCGACTTCACCCTCTCCAGGATGAACCTGTTTGTTCTCCTATAAATCTATGGTATATTCAATACTCTTCTCCAGCAACACAGATCAAAGGCATCGATTCTCTTTCTATCATTCCTAGTCACTGTCCAGCTCTCCTATGCATAGCATGCAATTGTGAAGACTATAGCCCAGATCAGGTGTACCTTAGTCTCCAGCCTGACATTGTTGCTCCTCAGTTCTCTGGAGAGGTGTCTGACAGCTGACTTCCCCAATGCAATTCGTCTCCTGATTTCCTGGCTGCTGTTACCAAGAGTGTTGACTGTGGAACCAAGTAAACTAGAACTGTTAACTATCTCAATCTCTTCACCATCCATACTGATGCTAACAGTTGACCCAGTGGTGAAAATCTTTGTTTTCTTGATGTTGAGCATCAATCCATATTGAAGACGGCGAGTGCTTCAGGTCCTCCTCAGTTTCAGCAAGCAGGGTTGTGTGTGACCCGTTAGCCCTTCTCTGTACAATACATTTTAAATACCTGTCACAAACCACATGTTGTAGGATGATCAGGAAATCTGATTTCTGTCTCCTAATTCTCCCCGAATTATATTTTTCTCCTATTGGTACGGTGGTTAAGCATTTGTATGGTAATTGAAAATCTGCCTTTCTAGCCCATCAGTTGCTCCTCAGGAGAACGATGTGACAGTCTGTACCCAATAAGACCACAACCTTGGGGAAAACCCTATAACGAAGCTCTCCTCCATCCTATTGAGCCCCTGTGAGTCAGAATCAACTTAATGGCCATGGATTTGCTTGATTGTTTTGGACCCTGAAATATCACAACCTTAATAGAAGAAGATCTTTTTAGTAACTGCTTAAAAAGAGAAAAAAGTTACTAAACAGTGTGTTTCTGTTAACCCAATTTTCAAAATGCTATTTGTGGAGAATCTCCTCCAGTGATGTACAGCCTCTGAAAATCCACTGGAGAGTCAGCTATTAGTTCCAACTTGCTGACACATTACAACAACATATATTATGGGAATAGTAGGCTGCCTAATACTAAGATTTCCTCACTAAAAGAATAAGCCAGTAATAAGTCCTTTTTTAGTTTTATTGTTTTGAATTACCCACTTAACTTTCAGTTAGGAAAAGCCTTTTAGTGCAAATATCTTCATCATTTACAACAGTTAAAAAAAAGAAACCTTTCCAGGATAAATTTCTGTAATTTCTTACTGAGCCCCTTACCAAGTGCTAAGCAATGGCTCTGGTACAGTGAAAGATCCAGAAATCAGTACCAATTTCAAAGAGAGTTTACATTGAAAAATAAGAAAGTTCAAAAGTACAACCAGTGTGTATACATGAATTAATGAGGACTTCAAATCTTCAAGACAGAATTACAACACTTAGATGCAATTATCATTGTGAGGTGGTGCTGTCCAGCCAGTTCCAACTCATGCAAGCCCGGTAGGGTAGAGAACTGACCCCCAACCCACCCCACTCCCTGCCCCGGGTTTCCAAAGGTGTGATCTTTACAGAAGCTGCTTACCAGGTCTTTTCTCCTGCGGTGGCTTCCAAACACTGACCTTTTAATTAGCAGAAGGTCTCCATTTTGACGCACCTCTGGAGATATTTTTACATCGTTGAAATGCAACTTGTATTATAAAATGTGACTAACGTTTGTCAACTGACATCTCTGTGCCCTTGAAGAAGGCAACATGTTACAGATACTCACTATTCTCCATCCTGTGGAAACCCAAAGCTCCTATTAAGATCTCTGTTAATTTCAAGGATAAAAAAGAGAGAGGTCCCTCTGTCCCTGGATTCTTGCTTCTACTGAATACACTGCATTTACAGGGTATTTCTTGTTACATGCCTATTTCTGTCCACTTCTACCAGTCTAAGCTATAAAATTCCATACTTTTGTTTCAGTTTTTAGGGGGGGAAATCTCCATCCCACCCTCATTGGTTATATTTTTGGTGTGAAAATTTTGTGAAAGTTTTGTTTTGGGAGGTGAAGAAATTATACACCCTCAGTAAAGAGCTACAAGTTAACATTGCATACCCTTGATATTAAAATATTTTGGTCTTTCTATCACTAAGAATTGTTTACTGTCACCTTCAGCCCACAATTCCCAGCCCCACGCCGTTCTGCTTAACTCCCCTTTTCTCCCTTCTCTTTTTATTATCTGGAGTGATCCTCTTCAAGGTCTGTGTTCAATTTCAGCTACAGTCGTCATTTTCCACTAATTAAGAGTTTCAGGTTACTAAAGGTCTTTTCACTTCAAAAAACTTTCTTTTCCTTAAATGATCTTGTCCATATGGACCAGGCAACCACTGCTTAAGCTATCAAGGCTTAGAGTCTTATGCCACCCTGAAAGACATTTTACGCACCCCTCAGCACTACCAAGACTGAGACGAAGTCAAGCCTATATCTAATGTAATTATTGCTGTTGTTAGTTAGCCTGAGTTCATTGGGGCTTTTGTATTATTAGCTGATGGCAAACGCTGAAACAGTGTTTTTGTACTTTTGCCCTTCTACTGTGATGTGGCCAAGTCAGGAGTCCCTTTTAGCATAGGTGTAAATAGTTAAGAACCTGACTACTTATGGAAAGGTTGGGAGTTCTAAGTCAGCCAGAAGCATCTAGAGATCAGCTTTCAAAAGGTCTTAGCTATTAAAACTCTTTGAAGCAAGCCTACTCAGCAGTCTTGGGGTTGCCATAAGTCAGAACTGACTATAGAAAAATATAGATGTGTACATATACACACACACACACACACACACACACACCTGCATGTCCCTTAGCTTTGTCCTCTGACAGTGCCTGGATTAGAAGCAATGACACACCAGTATAAAAAAGCACCCTACTAACAGGAAACAACAATCCTTGAATGAGCAACTGATCCAGAGGTAGAGAATGGAGAATGTAAGAATGATATGTTATTTGTGGCCAAAAGCAATGAAATGCTTGAAGAATGGTGGGACCATGTCAAAAGACATAAGGTCTCCCTAGTAGAGACTATCAGTGACAAAAATCTAGGAATAACTGATCATTGGTTTTGCTGGACATGGCACAGGCTCATAAAAGAATTTTCTATGCACTAAGAATTACTGTTATCCATGCTGTGCACTTAGCCTTTCATTAGATTGAGCATTAGAGTAGGCTAGTTGTATTGGATCATCCCAAACCTTGATAAAGAAAGTTGCTGATTTAGATAAATGTGCTTTTTCTTCTGTTTTGTTCTTTCAGGCTGCCGTTCAGTTGCTGAGATCAGTCAGGACCTGGTCCAGTTCTCTAGGTTGTGAAGAAAGAGCTGATCATCAGAGGGCCCAAAGAAGGAAGTCAAACACAGAGTGCAATGTTACCTTCCATGGGCCCCAGCATCCTCTATGTCCTCATTCCTCCAGCCCCTCATCTTCTTCAAATGCATGCTGCCCTTCTCACTCTTCACTGGCTTTCACATTTTATTTTCTCCTCTCAGAAAATAATAGAGTTGAGATCACAAGCTTTTAAGGCATCTAGAATTTGACAATCGAAACTGCCACTGACCTTGTCCTTAAAAAGGAGGAATTATACACCATAGTTTGTTAGGGTGAGGAGAGATTGATACAATGTATGCAAACTACAAAACACAATCATGCCTTTCTAGTAGAAGCTCTCTGGTGGTGTTGCCTAGGGGGGTGGGGGAGGCGGGGGAGATGTACTGCTAAACCAAAAGGGAAAATACACAATCTCATGTACAGTTTGCAGTCTCTGAAACCCGATGGAGGTCAGTGAGGGAGTTAGTTATTGAGTGAGAAGGAGCTCAAGAAATGGCTGTTATTATGATTGTTTGACTAATTTCTATTTTCACAAAACCACCCCTGGTTACTTGCTTTGTGCTTCCTATTGCCCTTTGCACATTCTTCTTCTATTATAACCTCTATTATAATGTGCTGTATTTACTTATTTACATGAGTCTCTGCACAATCAACAGGTTAAGGAAAAAAGATTAAATGCTTAGCACTGGGCTTGACATATAGTGGCATCTAATAGTATCTCAGTGGACTTTGTGGGGATGGATAGATGAATGAATAAGTGAATGGATAGAGACATGAATAAATGGATCAAAAGATAAGTGAGAAAATGCATAAATCCTTTGTCAGAGAAATAATCCCTAGAACAATAGTCAGCTAGCATAGATTTGGAGGGCAGGGTAACCAGTTAAGTAAAAAAACAGACATTTGAGAACAGTAAGAAAGTCAAGTTGGTACTAGTCAAACTGTGGAAACAGTTGAAATATCTAGCAACAGATGAATGGATAAACAAAATGAGATGTCTACACAAAGTGGAATACTTATCCACAAAAAGAAATGAAGTTCTGAAGTATATTCCTAGGAGACTGAATCTTGAAAACATGCCATGTTAAATAGGTCAATAGCAGGACAAATTTTATATAATTGCACATATGTGAAGTAAACTATATTTTAAAACTGATTGTCTTTCTGTGAATTCCAACCTATAACAATCCAGCAGGACAAAGTAGAATTGCCCATAGTGTTTCCAAGGCTGCCATCTGTCCAGAGGCTGACTGCCACACCGTTCTCCTGGGGAGCGGCTGGTGGGTTCAAACCATTAATGTTTCGTTAGCGGCTGTGAAAGACTGCTCAACCACTCTGCCACTAGGGTAGGAAAAAGAAAGAATTATTAGTGGTTTTCAGGGGTGACAAAAGAGGAAAAGAATACATTTTTACTTAGTGGCCACTGAATTTATGTTAATAACGGTAAAGTAAATTGAAGAGTGTAATGAATTTCACTTAATTGTACCTGTAGAAACTGTTGGGGAAAATGTAAAGGATAAAAAAGCAATGACATAAATAAATAGCCTCGGGAATTATTTCCCTGGGCTCGCGCTTGCCTCTTACTACACGTATTCTTCACACAACAGACAGATCTTTGTAAGGGAAAATCAGTTCTCGTATCATGCCTCTTGAAGATTTCCTATGATTCCGCAATGTGTTTAATATAAACTCTGAACAGATCACCAGCTGCCTGATCTTATTCTTAATACTTAAAATCCATCACTGTTGCATTTGGGACAACAAAAGCAGGCAAAGAAGTATGATTGGGATATCAATCAGATTTTAAAAGCTTACAGGATTGGTTCTATAACTTCACTCACCAGATACTATAGTGGTTCAACCATGACTCATGGCCATGTGGTTATTTTCAGCAAATCATGAAGGACTGGTTCTCTGTGCAAGCCCCAGGAGTGAATACTGCCCCTGCCAGGCTCTCCTGGCAGTTGTAATCTACTTTCAACAGCACTCTTTCTGGGGGCAAAGCTGCATGACTGATTTACCAGTCAGAAAGAAAGAACTAACATGTGAATTTATGTCAAGAATCAAAATGGACTTATGTTTCTGCTACAGACTTCAGCCTTAAGTGCTTCCCAGTTCAAGTTCATATGCTATAATACTAATCTCTCTAACTAAAATACTAATTTCTGTCCTCTTCCCATATTTGACCTTTGGATTAGATCCTAAATCACAGGGTATGTAGAGAAGTGTGGATATTAATTAGGAGTTACGTGGGTAGTGCAATAAGTTAATCACTTTATTACTGAGCAAAAGATTGGTTGTTCAAATGCACTCAGGAACACCTCGGGGTGGGAGTGGAGGGAGCCTGTGATCGTCCAGAAGATCATGACCCTGAAAACTGAAATAGAATACAGTTCTACTCTGACACTCGTGATATGATCATGCATCAGAACTAAGTCAAGGATAACTGATTTTGTTTAATTTTTACAGAAAGGACAATTAATGAACACAGTAGAGATTAGATAAAAAAATGCAATGTAATTGTTAAAATTTCCTCATTTCATTTATTGCATCAAAAATACATAATAAATGATTGTTAGGAAATAGACCATGCAGTGTTTTGAATAAAGAAACAGGATACTGTCACTGAACATGCTGTAAATCATAGATCTAAATGTCAGTTTATAAATATAAAACCTAAGAGAAGACAAAGAGAATTCATGGCCTACTGTTAGGTAAAGAGTTCTTGGACATAACACCAATGATATAACCCATAAATATACAAACAGGAAACTGACCTTGTTGTTGTTAGGTGCCATTGAGTGGTGTATAACTCATAGATACCCTGTGAACAAAAGGTCTGAACCCTGTTCTATCCTGCGCTATCTTCATACTTCCTGACACTCAAGAGCCCATTGCAGCAGTCACTATGTCAAGTCACCAGGTTGAAGGTTTTCCTCTCCTTTGCCAACCCTCCACTTTTCCTAGCATCATGTCCTTCTCCAAGGAATACCACCTCCTAGCAGCATGCCCAAAATACATGAGGATCCAGTTTGGAGGTAGGTTGTTTTGATTTAATTAAAAGCTGGGAATAAACTGGTCATTTTATCAATTCAGCGCTAATTGTATTTGGGAAGAATATTGATCTAAGTGATACAACATTTGTCTAACAGTTTGCAGTACTGAGATAACTTGGCTTGCTGTGATACTGAAATCTGTGCAAATGGTGTGTCAAATGCCATAAGGGTTTCCCAAGGTGTACAAGGTTTATGGTAGAGCACCCAGATTAAGACTGACTGGGAAGCAGAATTGGCATCCACTTCTTAAATAGCAAGCCTTTGAAAACCCTATAAACACTAGAGGAATAAAGATAGCTGTAGAGCGTAGTAGTAGAGCTCAGATTAGAAGTCATTTGAAACAAGGAAAAAGAATAACAAATATGCTTTAATAACTGGAACAAGGAAAGTACTTAGTTTGAATGTTGGAAAACTGTAAACTGTTAAAAATGAAATGGAACACATGAACATCAACTTATTAAGCATTAGTGAGATGAAATTGACCAGTTTTGGCCACTTTGAATCAGATAATCATATATGGTATACTATGTTGTTGTTGTAGATTGCCTTCAAGTAGAGCATGACTCATAGCACCTTATGAACAAAAGGCCTGAAGCCCCTCTACAACTATCAACATTTATTAAAGTTCATAGAATTTCCAGAGGCATGTTATTTAAGAAGTGGATGCCACTACTGCTTCCAAATGGTATAGTAAAAAAGTCAATTTCAAGGTCTATCCTGGAATACAATGTTTTGAGTGATGGGATAATAATATTCAAATGCATATGAGGAAGACCCAGTAACATGATTATTATTCAAATATATGCTGCTATATCAGGACCCAAAGAGGAAACTGATTTACACAGCCCCAAAATGTATTGGCTTCCTCAAAATAAAAATCTTCTGTGCTAAACTGCTGAGAGAAAATATTCACAAAGCATATTTTGAACAAAAATTCACATCCAGAATATATAAAAGACTCTCTAAATACAATAGTTAGAAATAAAAGAAATCTAATTTTTAAAAAAGGTAGAAGACTTGAATAGACACCTTATCAAGGAAAATGCATGATGGAATGAACACCACCTCTGTGATCATGGTATTGGAAGCAGGAGTGGCATCCACTTCCTAAACAGCATGCCTCTGGAAATTCTATGAACTTTAGAAAGGCTTTGGGCCTTTTATTATTAGTGTGGCTCTGATTCGCACTCTCGCTCTCCACTCAGTGGCAATCAACAACAACAAACACCTAAAAAGATGCTTAAAACTGCTAATCTAGGTCTTCCTCCTTCTCTTGCCCTCAGTTTAGAGGCCTTGACCTTTGGAGCTCTGTGTAAGTCTGGTTAGCATCACCTGTCTCCACATCACTCCCCTAGAAACAGACTCGGGTGAAAGAGAGTAAAATGTAAAGCAGGGAAAATAGAAAATCACCAAAAACAGAACTTTTGGTCTAAAAGAATAGGAAAGGACAAAGCAGTAGAAATGTATCAAGACTATCACTCATCAAGTAAAGTTTAGTCAACATCATGGAGCACAAAGAGAGGGTAGAAAGCAGCTGCAGAAAGATGGCAAGGAGAAGGAAGTGCCCAGCTAAAGGAATCGATCCCATTTGTGGCTTCTGCTCAAAACAATAAGTAAAGGTTCAGATCCAAAATCTGTGTGTACTGAAAGAGATAATTGTACATTTTATCTTGACTTCACTGTGGAGGGAAAACACAGAAAATGAAGTGTTTACATTGATGCAAGAGGTGAAGAACTCAATACCATAGATAACTGGAATGAGAAAAAACTGTAAGTAGTGAACAAAAATCATGGTGAGGTATAAAAGAAAAAAACCCAGAAGCTCAAATAAGGTGCAAGCATTTCCTTGGTGCTATTAAAAACAGCAAATTTGACTGGTTTGAGATATGCCTTAGAGGAAGATATGTGCCCAGATTTGTGTTGAAAAAA